AATAATAACAGTTTAATGCTAAAAAAATATAGTTTGCTGTACCGTTGTAGTGGAACTTACATACAACGTTAATGAACTAATGATGGAAGAAGATGTTTTGGGGACTGAACAGTGAGACAATGTGGAGTGTCCCGGAGGGTGGCGTCCTACCGTGGCCTAGCGAATGAGCCGCCCGGACCAAACTTGGCATGGATAGCAAGTGTCATGTGGGGATCTCAAAAAAAACTCCATCCAAGCCGATCCGACACACCCAACCCGACCCGACTCGTTAAACCACACAGAGGTTGAAAATGATGTGGAAATGTTGTAAGGTCTCCGCACGAGATTCTCGGAAACTACTTTACCGATCTGTAGTAATGATAGATGGTTTTATATGTAGTGATGATGGATGGTGCTATATGTAGCGATGATAGATGATGTTATATGTAGTGATGATGGATGGTGTTATATGTAGTGATGATGGGTGGTGTTATATGTCGTGATGATGGATGGCGTTATATGTAGTGATGATGGATGGTGTTATATGTAGTGATGATGGATGGTGTTATATGTAGTGATGATGGATGATGTTATATGTAGTGATGATGGATGTTGTTATATGTAGTGATGATAGGTGGTGTTATATGTAGTGATGATGCATGGTGTTATATGTAGTGATGATGGATGGTGTTATATGTAATGATGATGGCTGAGGTTATATGTGGTGATGATGGATGATGTTATATGTAGTGATGATGGATGATGTTATATGTAGTGATGATGGGTGATGTTATATGCAGTGATGATTAGATAATAAAACAATAACAGTTTAATGCTAAAAAAATATAGTTTGCTGTACCGTTGTAGTGGAACTTACATACAACGTTAATGAACTAATGATGGAAGAAGATATTTTGGGGACTGAACAGTGAGACAATGTGGAGTGTCCCGGAGGGTGGCGTCCTACCGTGGCCTAGCGAATGAGCCGCCCGGACCAAACTTGGCATGGATAGCAAGTGTCATGTGGGGATCTCAAAAAAAACTCCATCCAACCCGATCCGACACACCCAACCCGACCCGACTCGTTAAACCACACAGAGGTTGAAAAAGATGTGGAAATGTTGTAAGGTCTCCGCACGAGATTCTCGGAAAATACTTTACCGATCTGTAGTAATGATAGATGGTTTTATATGTCAGTAGTGGGCGCATGAGGGCTTTGAATAGGTGTGTTTTGGTTTTGATTGATGCAGTTCTGAATCTGTGTATATTTCTATGTAGTGAAGATGGGTGATGTTGGTACATAGTGATGATGGATGGTGTTAAGTATAGTGATGATGGATGGTGTTAAGTATAGTGATGATGCTTTTATCTGTAGTGATGATGGAAGTTAAAAGTATAATTATGTAGTGATGATGGATAATGTTATATGTAGTGATGATGGATGTGGTGTTGTATGTAGTGATGATGGATGGTGTTATATGTGTAGTGATGATGGATGATGTTATATGTAGTGATGATGGATGGTGTTATGTATAGTGATGATGGATGGTGTTAAGTATAGTGACAGGGATGAATGGTGTTAAGTATAGTGATGATAGAGATGTTCTTATCTGTAGTGATGATGGAAGGTGTTATAATTATGTAGTGTTGATGGATCGTTATATGTAGTGAAGATGGTGATGTTAAGTATAGTGATGATGGATGGTGTTAAGTATAGCATGATGGACAGGCAAGTATGAAGATGATAGGTGTTTTATCTGTAGTGATGATGGAAGGTGTTATAATTATGTAGTGATGATGGATATCGTTATATGTAGTGATGATGGATGGTGTTGTATGTAGTGATGATGGTTTTGTGCTTTGAGTAAGTGATGATGTGATGCAATATATTTAGTGATGATGGACGATGTTATATGTAGTGATGATGGATGGTGTTAAAGTAGTGGTGATGGGTGGTGTTATTTGTAGTGATGTAGATATAGATCTCAC